AAAAAGGAAAGGAGAACAGTGGGACGATAGGAAGTCGAGGCAATTTTGAGCCGTAGGTCGACTGAGGAAGGGAAAGTGTCGGGTGGTATAACAGCAACGAAAGTGACCATTCGATGCCAAAAATCTTTCTCTTTGCCAAATAGTGTAGATGCATCTTTCGAGACACGGCCACGTAGGCACGTACGGGGCCAGTAGCCTTCACTCTTCATCAAGGTTGTCAACCGGCAGGTAGATCCGCCGGTTGACCCGTTTTGATCCTGGTAAGAAAAATGCGTCACACATATCTGTATCTGGACTCGTTGTAAGGTTATCGGGTTGGAGATTACACATCGTCGGTTTTTCCTTTTGTTTGCAAAATGTGTCTCTTTTCTGGTTTTAATCACTTCACCTGACCCTATCTTTGGAATTCTGATATGTTATTACTCATATGTTAGATGACAATTGATATAATTTATAAATGTATGAACAATATAATGGCGTTTTCATATATTCGGGCTGAAGCTATCGGAATTAACCCTCAACCCACTTGCTCGACCGGGGTAACGGTCTAAATCGGGTTACAAACCTTCCTCTTCATCATGGCTGTCACGCCGGCTTCCTGCCGGCCGCTTGAACCGGGTTACAATCGGTACTGGTCATGCACCAAATCTATAGATGATGATCTTATAAGGGTTATAGGCAAGCTTTACTAACAAGTGACAATGACGACAAATGCATGGGAGGATGAAGGACATGAGCTTCGACGACAAGTGTAGTGACAGAGGTAGGAGTTGCAGAGATGAGAAAGGAGGCTTGAGGCAGAGAAAAGAAGAGAATTGAGGAGAAGCGCGACAATGAATTAGGGATGAGAAATTCGTGAAAAGAAAGACTGAAAGGATAATCCGATTAAAAAAATTTGTGTCACTTTTCTCTTTTTTGGACAAAAATGGTGGGGGTGCTTTCTCCGTGGGGCAAGACAATTTTGCTAGAATGCTAGTAACCTCATGCGAAAACGTTCTAACAGGGATACATACAACGCTATCAGATGACGTGATCATGAGTCGCTCCGTAGTCGTTGAATGGATGTAATGGCAATTTTGTCAACAAAATATTGTAATCGATCGTGTTCATCCAACGACTACGACTACGAATCGCCCATGATTGTGCACCTTGTGAGAATTGTGAAACACCTTAGCAGTTAGCATAGCCAAGCTGGGGATAGGAGACTGGAGACTTCTTCCGATGTTGCAAATGGAGAGAGGTATGGCGGTCATAGTGGGCAGGTGAAAGAGCAGAGTGGGTAGGAACTAGGAAGAGAGATAGGACTCACACAAGGAATCTGGAATCCCCCAAGCGAAAGAAAAAGAAAGAGGAGAAGTTTCAGTACTACTGTTTGAGTTTGACTCTTGCGTTGAGCTTAGGCAAAAGCTGGATTTGTATCGTCCTATTCCTTCGTCTTATTCGGTTATTCACTTTCCTTCCTTCTTCTTCTTCTTCTTCTTCTTCTAATTCCACTGTGCATGGCGATTCAGCTCCCGTACGTAAATGTAACTCTATACCTTTTCTAGGGGTGGATTTTGGGTTATTTCGATTATAACCGGTAATCGAATGGTCGGTTATCGGTTAACCGTAAGGCCGGCCCCCAACCGAGCGAAATAGGTTTCGGTTAACCACACCTCCTCCAGGACCAAAATCATCTCGTCCAGCCTTCGATAACCGACCGAATTTCGGTTATATTAGTTAGACCAACCGGTTAACCGATAACCGAACCTCCACCCCCTACCTTTTCCAGCTCCGAGCATGCAGTCTGGTCCGCACGTTCTTGTCTACCGTCGACAAATCCCAATTTTGAGATTCGCTGTGATGGTTCGCCTTCAAAAGCCCCTCCCCCAATGAGGCAACTTATGGTATTTGTAGCGCGTTGATCAATTGTTGCGGAAGCGAATGAGCTTTTGGGTGCAGACATGCAGTACTGAGTTTCGGATCAAGATTTGTGCTCTCCTCATTGGGTGCGTTCGTCAATCTGTGTTTCGCTCTGTTATGCTACGAAATGTCTTTCTGGATTTGTTATCGGTTTTCTTTGTATTAATTAGTCCCTCTTTGTACGTAGCCAATCTTTTCATAGAGCAACATAAGCTTCTCTTTGTTAAAAAAAAAATGTTATGCATTCGGCTCAAAATTAGTTCGGTGTAACTATACCAAAAAAATGTAAAAAAACATATAAATGTGAATAAACTTAATTAATCTAATTTAACTAGAAACAATAATGATGATCTGCCTGCCTAACTTGTATACTCGATCGTAGTCACATGCATGTTAGGTTTGTCTGTTGAATTAATAGAATTGTCTGGCCATCTGTCCCACTAAGACATGTACGTATCCATGGTTTCAGTTTTGGTAAGTCGATTGTTATAAGTTATATATTACGACGAGGACCAAACGTTTGTTGCAAGTAATTAAGTAAATGATCAGATGAGGAATTTATTGTGTCGGTCCAAGCCTCTATTTACATAAGTTGCAGCTACTATTATTCTTTGTTCGTTTAATTTGATCTAATATGATACCTTGTAATTAATTATTAGTAGCCCAACAACAACAAATACATCATGAATGCAAGACATAATGAATTCATGAAGCAATATCATTAAGATCTTAGTTGGCTGTCTCTGGTCATGAAAATGTCAAACGACAGTGGATCTCACGCTTGATATGTGCCATGCAAAAGTGCTATAAAGACATATATGATGGTGGGATTCTTGTGAAAATTTGATAATATATAATTACATACGGTTATAATTCCACTCAGAAGTATAAGTTCTAAGAGTACTGGGCGCAATGTCATAGTCAGGATTTGAGTTTAGCGGAATCCTATTTATGAATAAGTTATGTGATATTGTATTCAAGTTCATTCCCTTCAATACATTCGATCAAGTAGTTATTCATCAAATTATCAATCATTCAGTTGTGTCACTTCTCGTATAGTTCATAGATTAAAAGTGACATTTGACGAAGAAGATAAGAACCGACAACTGAGGTCAATAAGAAGTTAATCATCGAAATTTTTTTTCCTTGAAACGATTACTTAGGTAAACAACTGAGGGCGGGTTTTCATGAATGTGCTGCTCGACTGACTGCTCGCGTGAGATCCAAAAGGAGGAAAAAAAGTGTGGCCGAAAGCCCACACAGACAGGCAAGCAAAGCAAAGCAAAGCAGCAGCGCATGCCGCTCGCCAGACCAGCCGACGACTTGCCAATCAAATCAAATCTAAAAACCTTATTCTTGTAAGTTGTAACCCATTTTTTACCCATTACACAAAGAAGTCGTAATTAAATGGTTAAATAAACCGATCATCTCATTTAACCACTCCTATAACAGTAGTCATGAGTATTAGGAGTGGGTCACAATCAACTTAGAAATTTCGTTTATTTTATTTATTGATTTATTCGGCAGATAGCAAATGAAACTACACCTTATTTACTTGAAGTCTTGTATCATAATATTACGGTACAAATTCATTTTGTTTTATAAAGGAATGCTTTTTTTTTTTACATTGTCGTTAAATTATTAATGGTGTAAAATTTCATATAGCATGCTGAATTTGCACCATAGCGTTAAATGTACAAGTCCAGTTTGTATCATAACATGAGGTTTTTTTTTTTAAACCAAAGTACTATTTGTAAAATTCTTTATTTATATGTGTTCTTCCGTTTTCATTCCACCTGCAAAACTAACTCTAATTTCAATTATTGATTTGTATATAGAACCTCTTAAAAAATTATCAACAATAACCGTGTAACACTTTAGGCGATTTCCACATCAACAAGCCATGAGAGAGATCTATGAGTCATATGGAACGATTCGATTTTCAATGACAATACGCGTTTTGGAGCAAAATAATGCAATTCTTAATGCACTCGAAATGAAAATCGTATGATACTGAAACCAAAACAGATGATATCAATATAAAAAAAAAAAGGTTGAGATGTTACAAAACCGTTTCAAAAATAGAAGAGGAAAAATAATCAACCAGTAAAAAGTTTTGAAGACACAAGTCACGCCTAAAATAATGAAAGGCCAAAAAGGAGTTAAAAAAAGAGATAAACCCTCCAAAATTAGGCCGTTTGATTAGAACCATAAACCGACACCTCCCTCTGTCTAATCTTTTCACGGCTCGAACCAAAAAGAGAAGAAATCAAAGCCCAAAATAGACATCTCTCTTAATGTTTTGTCTAACTTTGATATATACTTGCTCGACAGTTGTCGCAGGCCAGGCAGCCATCAATCCCATTCATTATTCAATTCACCACCGCAACTAGAGAGTACTACCGCCGCTTTCCGCTTTGCTGAAATTCTATTATCGAAAGCTAAGGGGGAAAAAGGAGTGCTCTAATCACATCATTATGGATTTTTTTTTTTTTTTGTGGCTTGTTATATTACTATCGACACCCATTAACATAACTACATATATAGCTTCATATTATACGATAGTTAATCTACCAATCTAATTTGCACTTTTTCGTGTATATGCATGTTTTTCTTATTCGAAATGATGACTTCTCTTGTGCACCTCAATCCACAAGAAGCGGGCGACACTCACGGTCATTAATATTTTTTTTTTGTTGGGCGAGGAGATCACTCGTAAAATGGATCGCATAATCATAAAAAGAAATCATGTCTAATATCTTTAAAAATTTTGAAATTTCATTTCTGTCTGGAGCGTACAGTTGAGCCCCCGTGTCTTTTCCGCTTACTTCCAATAGTATGGAAAGTCTTTGTAGGTGAAGCTTTGCCACTTTTCTCTCCGCCGCTTAGCCATTAGAAAGTTTTGTCGTATATAGTTATCTTATGTAACGACAAACCATCGTGATGTGTGATTACAAAGTAACGACACGCGCGTAGCAGACACATCAAACGTTCATGGAATTCCACTTGTCACCTGATTTGGAGTAAAGGTAAATTAACATGGCAAGCCGATCGGACGATCACGAAGAGAATCTATAGGCATATTTCACTTGTCATTTGATTTTCGGTGAAAGCAATGTATCAATCTTGTTTATGAATTGATTCAGAATTCAATTTTCCTTCACTGGCATGTGCCATTAGTTAATCTGCAATGGATTTTCTTCTTCTTCTTCTTCTTCACCTTCTTGGCTTGGACTGTGGAGTGTGGAGTTGACACCATGACAGCAATAATGAAAGCTAATTATAAATCTCCCCAACTGTCACTCTCCCCTTCCCTTCCCTTCCCTTCTCATATTTGAACCACCGCCATCTCCACCAGCACACCATTTCTCTTTCTCTTCTTCCCCATACCTCTCCAATGGCGTGACTCAGTGGTAACTCCTCAACTACTCCCAAATCCAAACCTTCTTCCAACCTTTCACCGACCCGGCCAAAAAAATGCTTCTTTTCGTCTTCCTCCTCTTCCTCCCTTCCTTCTCCTCCTCCCTGAACCAGGAGGGACTATACCTCTACCAGCTCAAGCTCTCCCTCTCCGACCCGGACTCCAATCTCGCCTCCTGGTCCGACCGCGACGAAAACCCCTGCTCCTGGCCCCGGGTCGCCTGCGACCCGAAAACCCGCTCCGTCACCTCCGTCGACCTCTCCGACTCCAACCTCGCCGGCCCTTTCCCTTTCGTCCTCTGCCGCCTCCGCAGCCTCACTTCCATCTCCTTCTACAACAACTCCATCAACGACACTCTGCCCCTCGACATTTCCTCCTGCCGGTCCCTTGTCCACCTCGATCTCGCGCAGAACTTCCTCACCGGAACCCTCCCGGAGACTCTACCGGACATTCCCAATCTCAAGTACCTCGACCTCACCGGGAACAATTTTTCGGGAGAGATTCCGGCCTCCTACGGCAGGTTTCAGAAGCTCGAGGTTTTCTCCGTCGTGTATAATCTCTTAGATGGTGTCGTCCCCCCCTTTTTGGGGAACGTTTCGACTCTGAAGATGCTGAATCTGTCCTACAACCCGTTTTCTCCCGGTCGGATCCCGGCGGAGCTTGGGAATTTGACGAATCTGGAGATACTCTGGATGACGGAATGTAATTTAATTGGGGAAATTCCTTCCTCTCTCGGTCGGTTGAAGAAGCTGACCGATTTGGACCTTGCTATTAACGATTTGGTCGGCGGGATTCCGAGTTCGCTCGCCGGGTTGAGCAGCTTGGTTCAGATGGAGCTCTACAACAACTCGCTGACCGGAGAGTTACCGGCGGGGATGGGGAACATGACTGGGTTACGGCTCCTCGACGCGTCGATGAACCGGCTGACCGGTTCGATTCCGGAAGATTTGTGTCGGTTGCCGTTGGAGAGTCTCAATCTCTACGAGAACGGATTCGAAGGCAACTTACCGGCGAGCATTTCCTTTTCCCCAAATTTGTTCGAGCTCCGGCTGTTCGGCAACAGACTGACCGGCGACCTGCCTCAAAATCTCGGCAAAAACTCGCCGTTGAGATGGCTGGACCTGTCGAATAATCAGTTCACCGGTAATCTCCCGGCGACGCTCTGCGAGAAGGGGGAGCTCGAGGAGCTCCTCGCCTTGTCCAATTCGCTCTCCGGTCAAATCCCGGCGAGCTTGACCGCGTGCCGGAGCTTGGCCCGAGTCCGATTGGGGAACAACGAGTTATCCGGCGAGATACCCGCCGGATTCTGGGGCCTGCCCCGAGTTTATCTCGTCGATCTCGTCAACAACTCGTTCTCGGGACAAATCGCGAAAACCATCGCCAGCGCAGCGAATTTGTCGATGCTGATTCTGGATAAGAACGGGTTCACCGGCTCGATTCCGGAGGAAATCGGTTGGGTCGGTGGTTTGGTCGAGTTTGCAGCTAGTGAGAATCGGTTCACCGGCCCGCTCCCCGGAAGTATTCTCAATCTCAAACAATTGGGGAAATTGGATCTTCACGATAATCTTCTCTCCGGCGAGCTGCCCTCTGAAATTGATTCGTGGAAGAAGATAAACGAGTTGAATCTCGCCCGGAACCAATTCTCCGGCGAAATCCCCGACTCCGTCGGTAAGCTCTCTCTTCTCAACTACCTCGATTTATCCGGCAACCAGCTCTCCGGCGAAATCCCATCCAGTCTCCAGAACCTGAAGCTCAACCAGCTCAACTTCTCGAACAACAAGCTCTCCGGCGAGATTCCGCCGCTTTACGCCAAGGAAATTTACAAGAGCAGCTTTCTGGGGAATCCCAGATTGTGCGGCGAAATAGCCGGATTGTGTCAGGGGAAAAGGAATACCCAGGATTACGCCTGGCTGCTCAGGTCGATTTTCATCCTCGCCGTGATAACCTTCCTCGTCGGAGTCGTCTGGTTCTACTTCAGGTACAGGAACATCAAATCCCCCGGCGGCGGCGGCCGGTCAATCGACAAATCGAAATGGACCCTAATGTCGTTCCACAAGCTAGGGTTCAGCGAGTACGAAATCCTCGACGCGCTAGACGACGACAATGTGATTGGAAGCGGGTCGTCGGGTCGGGTTTACAAGGTCGTGCTCAGCAACGGCGAAGCCGTTGCCGTGAAGAAGCTCTGGGGTGGTGGAGCGAAGAAGGAAAGCGGCGGCGATGTGGAGAAAGGAGTTAGTAATGACAGGGACGATGATGGGTTCGATGCGGAAGTGGGGACTTTAGGCAAGATCCGGCATAAGAACATTGTGAAGCTGTGGTGCTGTTGCGTCACTAGGGACTGCAAGCTTCTGGTATACGAGTACATGCCGAATGGCAGCTTGGGCGACCTGCTGCACAGCAGCAAGCGAGGGTTGCTGGATTGGCCAACGAGGTTTAAGATCATCCTGGACGCGGCGGAGGGCATTTCGTACTTGCATCACGATTGTGTGCCGCCGATTGTTCATAGAGATGTCAAGTCCAACAACATTTTGCTCGACAGCGAATTCGGAGCTAGGGTGGCCGATTTCGGAGTAGCCAAGGTTGTGGATTCCCCCATGGGCAAACCCAAGTCTATGTCTGTCATTGCAGGTTCCTGTGGCTACATTGCTCCAGGTTGGTAAAACCTTTCATCAATGCTCACATATTACCATTTGAGTGTGTTCTTTTGATCTGATTTTGAATGTTCTATGGTTTTGCATTCATTCAGAGTATGCTTACACATTGCGTGTGAACGAGAAGAGCGACATATACAGCTTCGGAGTTGTGGTCCTCGAGCTGGTGACCGGAAGGCTACCGGTGGACCCTGAGTTTGGGGAGAAAGATCTGGCGAGGTGGGTACGAACCACGATTGACCAGAAAGGGGTCGACCACGTTCTGGACTCGAAGCTCGATATGTGTTTCAAGGAAGAGATATGCAGGGTTCTCAACATCGGGATCCTCTGCACGAGCCATCTCCCCATCAACCGGCCCTCCATGAGGAGGGTGGTGAAGCAGCTGCAAGAAATCGGGGGAGAAGCTCAGTCGAAGATGACGAAAGATGGCAAACTGACACCGTATTACTACGAGGATGCCTCGGATCAAGGGAGTGTTGTATGATTTTTGGAACAGAGATGATTACTGGAGGTGGGATTTTGAGAACCCTAGTTTGTTTTTTTGCACTGTGGGTTTGGCGTTGGGAAAGTGATTGATTCTATAGGAATGCATTCTGCATTGTACAGTGTTCTAGTTAAAAAAAGAGTTGAGAACCCACCAAGCCTGCAGATTTGTCAGGTTAGTTTCAATGAGTATCCATCCTATGATTTCAGGTGTGGGGTAAATTCCTGCTTTGGTTGTAAACAGTATTTTCTAGGTTTCAACTAGTAATGTATATTCATGAGTAAGTCGTACCGCCTAGTAACGATGGAAACGGGAAGTGGTAATGCAGCACTACGCTAACGTGATTTTGATAATTCGTTATGTCGTAACTCCTAAATCGTCGATAGAGGATCAGATTCGCACCGTGGATTGTAACATTTCGCGACCCACACAACGTGTTACAGAAGTGGAAAAGAGTTGGGAGGATGCCGTGAGCAGCAGGGTGAGATGAAAAATGGCCCTGATAGCAACTAGTTTCTGCACTGGTGTAGCCTGTTGTTGCGTCGGCTGCTGGCTGCCTGCTTGCTAGAATTTATTTACTGGGGCATGAGTGGGCCAACAGTCCATAAATGATGGTGGGCCAGGAGAAAAGGGCTGGTCCTGAATCTCTCGGAGTTTTTCAAAGTGGATGAAATGAAAGAGCCTGTTTGGATAGAGGCCCACGCTATTCCATCTACACTACTGTTGGCCCAGATGAGCCAGTTGCCATCAACTTAACAATGACGGCATTCATGAATTGAGAAAAGGGTTTTGGAGTTTTCGTCATACCTTTTGCTCGTGAGAACAAGAGTTGATACTATAGCAAAAATCAGTTAGACCATTTTAAGTGGCTTTGATTGATGTTTTTGGTTCTTTTTTCTTCAAAAGTCAGCAATGATTTTGATTTCGTTAAAAAAAAAAGGAGTTTGGATTCTACAATGGCAAAAATGGAATGACATGGATACTTAATAAAGCCTTTAGAGTTTGTTCATAGCTCAATGAACAATACCCGTAAGCCAGAAAACCATGCTGAATCTGAACTTTCTTGATGAGAGTACGACTATTCAACCAATAGACTACACAGTTATATTTTCTTTCATAAACTTTTGTATTGATTAGTCTGACTTTGTTGATGTTTACAAAACGACATCCTTATATCCTTATTTGATGTACATAATAACATAAGAAGAACATCCCCGTTATCCGAACAAGTAAAAATGGTATGCGAGAATTGCAAAATTGTCCATCTCTATATATTCTAAAAGCCGTAAAATCGTACTACACATGAGATGTCAACCAAACAACTAATTAAATCAAAGTAGCTAAAAAAAAGATTAAATATCCGTGTACATTATCTAAATTGAGATATCAATCAACATTGAGAAAGTTGTTATAGGATTCAATGAAAATTGTGACAAGATAATATTTTTGGGCGACTTGCATGTGGTTGTCCCTCTCAAGTCTCAAGTCTCAAGTCTCATCTCGCTTTCTCTTAACACGTTGTAAATGGGCATCCAAAACCTCACTTTCGACAATGTCTTGTTAGACCGATCGATGGGCACATAGAAGAATGAAATCGGTGGCTACTGGCTAGGCAGGGTGAGCAAGAACACAACTACTTCGACGACGTACTGCTGCACCTGGCTAGTTAGTGTAAATTGTATCGCATATTATATTGAAAAATTTAACGATAAAGTATTTTATAATAAATTTTTGATTTAACTATTTTATAAAATTATGCTGTTAAAAATCACATATCAACTAAAATTAGGTATTTCCAATCGGACCGCAAATATAGTACGATTTCAATATTTCACAGACACGGCTCCTGATACCTCCATTAAATGTCGCCTCTAGGCAGGGGGCGGGCCCTGGGACACCCCTAAATTTTGGAAGATCGATTATCCAACCTCCGGTGGTAATTTACGTATAGACAAAAAAAAAAAATTATAACTAATAGTCTGGGACACCCTAAAATTTGAAAGAACGATCGTTTGTAGTTTGCTTATGAGAATATAAGTGGTAGTTTGGGTAATTCAAACCCGTGACACTAGTATTACTAATAAATATAATTTCCATTAGGCTACAACTTTTGTTGTTGTTATATTAGTGTAATAGCAAAACCCTATTCTCTATCTTTAATTATTTTTAAAATCTAACAATTAATCTAATTACAAGCTACCCTTATGGTTGTACAACAAGTGTTGAAAGTGGTTTTTCAACTTTAAGTTACATCATGAACAAATTTAGAAGTCAAATATGCGTCAGTTCATGAATGAGATTGTGTAGTAGGATACACCGAGACAAATTTGTTGAGCAGTGTAGACACCAAGTGTATTCTATAAATTTTTTAGAATATGAAAATACATCATTGAATTTTTTAACATGTACGAGTTAGATATTTTCTTATTTAAGAATAATATAATTTTTATTTTACTTTATTTTTTGAAAGAAAATACCCAATGTAAATTTTCTGGGTCGGCCACGCCTCTAGGTCTTGAAACCATATATAAGATCAAAATAAACCTAACCAATGAAAATTTGGGCCTCCAACTATTTGGGCTTTGCTTTCATGGACCAAGGCCCGTTCGCGAATTCCTGGTTGTGCAAACTCTGAAAATTGAATAAAACACTTGTCAATGACCTTGCACGGTCCAAATATTACACTTGTCAATAACGTAGTATTAAACATAACATTAATAAAATTGAAGTAAAATACTCGTATGTATTTTCCAGTACCATATTTTACTAACTATAATATTCAATTCAATAATGATTTGATACAGTCTGTACAAACCAACTCGTTGCACACCCTATTTTCCAAGTACCAAAGTTCCTTCTTTTTTCACTCACTCACTCACTCACTCACTCTTTTTAATTAGTTTCCCGTGTTCCCGTAATTGATCCCTTTACGCAAACGTCTTGACTTATTTTATTTCCCACTTTCTTCATTAGGAAAGAGTACTCCGACAGTGGGAACACTAACTACACAATCACTGTGATACATCTAATGCTCTATTTGATAAAAATAGGTATAAATCTGTCTGTGGAATGTACGTAAAAGGGCCATATGAAATCCACATTCCAAACTTGTACATTACGATAGTGTATATGCTTAATTAATTACATGGATTTTATTTCAGCCAAAATACTCCGGGATTCTTATTTGGGCTTCGATTGTTCGATCATTTTGTGGTAGTTGTGTGGAATGACTGGGATGATCCTCATTATCTACACTCTGACGGTTAACATATCATGTACAGAGATAACTTATTGTATGAATATCAACTCTTGAGTCATCTCAATGCTTGAGAATCTTTAGGTGTCCCAGCATTAGGGATGGTAATTTCGACCTGACCCGATTTACCCGACCTGTTTGACCTGTTTTGGGGCGGGGCGGGGCGGGCATGGGTACCTCTCATCTACCCGACCTGCCCTGACCCGCCCCATTCTCGACCCGTTCTTGCCTAAATTACATATAATCTTAGTGAAATTATTTAAGATTTTCCTCTTATTACATTATATTTTAGCTATAATAAAGTTGTAAATAAGTGAAAACCTCAATTTCTTCAATAATTTAACTACATTTTATCATATTATGGTTTCTTTCTTGGTCTTTCAATGAAAAGAATGAATATTTCTAATGTTTTTCACATAAATTACATACCCAATGTGTCGACCTGCCCCGACCCGCGCCCCGTAATAAATTACCCGACCTGGACCCGACCTGCCATGGGGCGGGTATGGGTATCGAGATACCCGCCCCGGACCTGCCCCATTGCCATTCCTACCCAGCATGCATGGCCCATCACCATCCAAAGTTCCAAAAGAACACAACCCTAATAACTTCTTTAATTTCGCATTTCGATACTTATATTGCATCTCCATACCCTAATTCCCATTACCATTTTTATTTCATATTACACTCTTTGCTATTAGTTTTTGTTTTTGTTTTTGTTTATTCTTTGTGATTAGTTTATGTGTATAGTGAACGACGCTTATTTGACTGCTTCAAATGTAATCTATATATGTGATTAGACCAGAAGACAGATGGCGGAGAAAAGGGGAAATAGATATGAAGGCAAATATGTACCAAGTGTTTCGTTTTTGTGTTTAAAGAAATCCAAATTGGGAAGCTTTTCTTTCTTTCTTCTTCTTCTTCTTCTTTTTCAAAACCCTAATGTGTACGTCAAAGTTGAATGGAAATGATGAAAAGCGTCGAGGAGGGTTTTTATCTGCGGTAGCTTACTTATCAAGGCATCATCCAAAATCAAAGGGACCCATATCCATGACCAATTCCAGTGGGCCATACGACGTCGGCCAATCAAAACTCTGGGTCCCGACCTCAAAGAATACAAATACGTATAAAATACGACTTATAAACAACACTGAAAAAAGCGGCTGGCGGCGGGTGCAATTTTCTTGCATATACAGTTCCCCTAAAACCGCCAACCTGTCTTCCATTTGCATACCTAGCTAGGGTTTGTTGTTTGCTGGGTGGGGGTTACTTGCTACTAAAGCAACCCGCCGTATTATTTATGCGTGACTACAAAGTGGACGAAAAAAATAGTAAAGATCATCATGTGTTGAATTGTACATTGATGGCGTAGTGACAAGATGGAACGACGTATTGTGACAAAGGTTAATGCATAGAGGTAAAATGAATGAGTCTACCCTAGAGTTGTCGGTTCGGATAACCAAACTGTTAAGACATAAATCGAAAATGATTAATTCTTCAAAGATTGAATTTGAACCCTTGCTAAGGGGCTTCTCGGTTTTTGGTTTATGAATATCGATACGCCCCTTAACAGTACGATTTCAGTTGAAGAAATCAGAAAAGGCCCAAATCGAGGGAGAATGCACCAAATAGGTGAAACTTACAAACCATGCACCACCCCCTACCAAAGAAAGGATTTCGATTTCCCGCTAAGATACAAATGATTTGGAACCGAAAAAACCCAAAACCGTTAAGTTTCTCATCAGTTCGGTTTAATTTTAAACTTGAAATGAATCCAACCCTAGACCCTAATAGGTATAATCATCACAAAAAAACAAATGGCTGAAATTAGACATGGCAAATTATGACCTGACTCGTTGACCTAACTCGAACCCACCCGCGAAAATAAATTGGGCGGAAGTTTTTATATCTCGAATGACTGGAATTCGACGAACCCACAATTATTTGGGTTGGGTTGGGTGGTTCAGTGGGTCGATTGACTCATTTCACCCGTTTTATATCATATATAACTCTCAAAATGATAAAATCAATCACAAATCGGTGTGATGTTTAACAAAATTCACATGGAGATGAAAGACAAGTTTGGAGTGTAGGGATAGTCAAATATCGCGTGTTTCTTGTAGCACTATTAGTGTATCATGACGTATTTTTAGCAATTTGTGCAATTGTATTTCCTTTTATTAGCACGCAAAGACTGGAAAATATGTGAATTGACATGTGTTAGGCAACCTGTTACATAAATATATGAAAAGTCGTGCTAAATAAATATGAAGCATGTTTATTCTTATTTTTGAGAACGTTCGTAACTCGAAATGACCAAAAATCTAACCCGAAATTTTTTGATTGAGTCATAATTTGATTCAAAATTAGCCAACGAAACAAAACCCAAAGTGTAACTCGAGACCCAACCTGAAATTATCCAACCCGACCTGTGATTGTCAGGTCAAGCAGGAATTGACATAAAGGAATTACGAACGTCGGGCAAGTCAGGATCAGAATGTAAATGGGAGAGATGAGTTATGGGTACCTTTTGGCTTGTTCTCATGATCACAAGTGTACGCAACAAGGTTGTCAAACCGGTTTATGCCAGTGTGCCGGTTTAGCAAGTGGAATGGTTCGACCGGTGGCACATACCGGTTTGTGCCGGTTCATGCCGGTCAATATTACAAATATAATTAGAAATACTCATATTTAAACATGACATTTAACGTCAATACCTTAACATTTATACTTGAATCCAACAAATAACATCAATATTTAACTTTTATACTCATAAAATAAATAATAAAATAATTTTTATCAATTAAATTCCCTAAAATAAAGTCATTTTACTTAGAGATTCGTATATCGATCATGCCGGTCATACCGGTGGTGTCACGCCGGTTTTATGACCGGTATCGGTTGAACCTGGTACAACCGGTGGCACGCCGGCCGGCATGACAACCATGGTACGCAAAGAAATATATACATAAATACATGTTTGTATCATGCTATGTGTGACAGGTATACGGTAACCGAATTAATTGTATTTTTTTTTGTGAGAAATAGAGCGTAGAGGGGCACTCTAACCCTTATATATTAATCGAACGGGGCATCTGAATCCCAACAAGGTCATACATCAACCAATAACTCAACTGAGGGTCCGGAGCATCAAAAAAGTGAACTCCAACCGGTAAATCATGGCTAACAGAAGCCATATAATCAGCAGCATAATTACCCTCCCGAAAAACATGATCAATACTGACCTCCCAGTCCCTTGCCAGAAGTCTACGAATAGCAGCCGTCATGGTGTAGTGGGGGTGATTTACTTGGTCTGTCTGCACAATTGTATACATTAATAATACGTCAGATAGAAACAAGGTTTTGTTTGATAAATATAAAAAGAAACAATTTTTTGCTGCCTACTCTTTCTTCGACCCTGGATTTGTCCAGAGGTGTATAGAGATGGGCAATTTAATTCGCAATCGTATAAACCCAACCCTCTCCAACCTATAGAGAATTCTCGTATTGATTGTGTATGAAACGGATATGAGTAATATCGGCAAAGAAATGATGGGATAGGTCTGCTGGGCTCAAGTCCCCCCTCTCCCTACGGTGCAGCCGGCTGCACATGATCATAACCAAACTTGACGTCCAAGCAAACCTTATCATTCTCTCTCTCCTTTGCGTGTCTTCTTATAGCTGGAGAATGGAGGATTTCTATCCCCTTCCTCTTCCCTTTCCCCTCCCTAATCATCCTCCTAACCTTAATTAGTATCTAATCAGCTTAATCACAAAAAAAAAAACTAATCCCCGTCCCCTTCACAGAGAAGAAAGAGACAAAATCCGGAAGCGGAAAATCGGGTCGGGTCGAATGTCTTAACCCTCACAAAAACCACGCAAAACGTGCCGCGAAAGCCACAGTTTTTTTTTTTCTTTTTCCTTTTTTGCGTTTCCATTTTTGATTTGCTTCCACGTATTAATCTCCTTCCTTCTTCTTCCCTCCCCTCTCTCTTTCTTGGCCGTTTTGTTTTCCCTCTCTCTCTCTCTTCCGCCATTTTCTCTCTCGTTTTTTCCCGGGAACCAAACAGTAAAAAGGAAGCAGCGAATTCGATCACTGTGAATACAGTACTGGGAGAGTAATCTGTATAGCTACGAGGTCTTTGTTAGAGTATATATATATAGAGAGAGAGAGAGAGAGAGAAATGACATGGTGCAGCGATAATCCATCGTCTGCACTGGCAGCAGTCGGAGCAGATCGGGAGCAAGCCGAAAGAGTTTTCCCCGCCGGCGGCGCCGATGGAGTAATTTCCCGGTTTGGTGAGGAATTCGGCGGGAACAAGTGCCCCTCGTGCGGACACGGCATGGAATCGTCTTTCCAGGATCAGGTCCGTACGTTTGATTCCTTACTAGCTAGCTAGCTGTATTCGGAGATTTGATGAATTTTTGCTCCGGCCGGTGATTTTTTTTGTGAAATATACAGGGCGGAGGCGGCGGGGGCGGGATACAGGATCTGCCGGGGCTGCCGGCGGGGATGAAGTTCGACCCGACCGACCAAGAGATACTGTTGCATTTGGAGGCCAAGGTCACGTCCGATTCCCGGAAAATCCACCCGCTCATCGACGAGTTCATCCCCACCATCGATGGCGAGAACGGGATCTGCTACACGCACCCTGAGAAGCTACCAGGTTGTTTTTTCGAATTTAATTAGTTCTGCAATTTGCATTTCCAGTCCATGCGCGAAGGGTGTTTGTGAAAATGTCCAGACGAGAAAAGGGAGGGAGGAGAGGCACATGGAGTAGCGTAAATGGGGTTAATGACGTGATTACATTCTCTTAAACCAACTTTTTTTGTTTTTTGTTTTCGGGTATAGGATGGTACAAGTAACTACTAGGTAGGCTACAACTGTTAGCAGTGAAATTCCCTTTTAAATACATTTTTAACTAGTATTTAGGGATTTTGCCGCCCTAATTTGGTGGGCTGTCTCGTTTTCTTCACTTACAAGAAACCCCATCAAAGTTTGACAATAAACCCTTCAAAATGTTTTTCAACCAAGTTTCCATCCCTTCATTTAATTCCCCACCATTAATGATTGATGTGTATCCATGTATCTATCCCATATTTTAATCAAGATATTCGAAATCATCGTTGTTGATGTGACTTGAATCGGACTATCAGCCGCTACGACTGGTAGTCGGGGGTCTCGCTGCCTGGTCAGCGAGTTGGGTACAGGGGCAACGCCCCCGGCCCACGGTGTATGGCTCAATTTTATTTGCGTTCGGGTTCTGGGCCTGGTCTGTAACCGTTTCCTTTGCCAGATTGGATTAGGTTTAGACCCACATGAAGAAGTACTATAAATACTTCTCTGTAATCTGTAATCTCCTCGATATAGTGAAACTGGCTCTCTCTCGCCCGTGGACTAGCCAACACACATCGTGTTAGTGAACCACGTAAATCGTGTGTCTGTGTGTTTTTTATTCTCGCTTTCGTATTCTTGCTTTATCAATTCCGGCGATTTCCCGATCCGTAGCAGCGCGTTTATAACAATCGTCATGCCAATTTATTACGAGAATTTGAGTCGTTGGTATCTTTGTATTAAATAACATGTTCGTCTGATCTTTGATTTGGTATGCAAACGAACTCATGGATAGGAATTGGGTTTTTGGATGGATGATTGATGAACAGGAGTGACAAACGACGGCCAAGTCCGACACTTCTTCCACAGGCCATCCAAGGCTTACACGACGGGGACAAGGAAACGGAGAAAGGTGCACACAGAGGAAGACGGGAGCGAGACGAGATGGCACAAGACAGGGAAAACCAGGGCGGTTCTCGTCGGCGGCACGGTGAAAGGGTTCAAGAAGATACTCGTACTGTACACGAACTACGGCAGGCAGAGGAAGCCGGAGAAGACCAGCTGGGTTATGCACCAATACCACCTCGGCAACAACGAAGAGGAGAAGGATGGCGAGCTGGTCGTGTCGAAAGTGTTCTACCAAACACAGCCTAGACAATGTGGTGGTGGAAATGGTGGATCCAGCTCCATCAAGGATTCCTTTGACAAGAACAATAATCCAAGTGGGAACAGTACTAACGTTCAAGGTAACAGTAGTTCTCTGGTTGATTACTACAACCCAACTTTCATGGGTTATGACCAAGAGCATAATGTTAGTCATCAGTCGTTGATTCCGAATCTGGTAGTTCATGATCATCAAGGTGATGGGTCTTCCTATATTCGGCTTGCTGCTGATGCAAGCAAAGGGAAGGTTCAAAAGGAAATGAGGTGAGGGTGAGATGCAGAGGAGATCTCATTCTCATGAACAGGTCTCTTTTGTTGTTGTTGGAGGTAGAGTAGGAGTTAAGGACAGAATTTGGAGGTTGGGGTTTTGTTTGGTGGGTATTTGTGGGGTATAAACTGTTAGGTAATGTGGGTATTTGAGAGTCTGTTGGTAAGATCAGGGGTGGGAAAGCTCAAAAGGAAGGATTTCAAGAATCCACTATGGGATTCCCTTTTCTTTTGGTGGGAAGAAGTACAGGGAGAGCTAGGTATATTTCATTAACTTGTAGGTTATAGAAGGAACATTTGACACCGTTGGCTTTATTCTTCTGTGATTGGGTTAAGTTATATTGTACGTATATAGTATAGTGATTGTTTGGGAAAGGAAAAGAATAGGGTTTCTTGATTATGGAGCAAGGTGGCATGGGTAGGGTTGTAATTTGAAAATTATTGTACAATAATAATAATAAGCTTTCTTGCTTGGAATAAATTCCACTCATATGTAAATATTCAAAAGCAGCTTGTCAATTATATATGCAACATATTTGCTCTAATTTCTTCTGACTTATAGTATAGTGATTGTTTGGGACAGGAAGATTAGGGTTTCTTGATCATAGAGCAAGGTAGTTACTTTTCCTTTGGCTTTCGTATATTTTTTTTAAAATGTTTTATTCTATTTTAAATATTTTCTAATAAATTAGAGAAATATCATATGGGAGTGGAAAACCCCAAGAAAGAATTGGTTGGTATGTATAGTAGCTATTATTATATTGTTTTATGTAACATTAGGGGTTGAAACTTTGTTATCAACTATCAAGGAAACAAGTTGAAAATCGCAAATAGATGATAATTCTTTATTGTCATTTTTGTCCAAAACAATTTTAAGTAGGTAGTTGATGACCCAAAAACATGTGTTGGACATTCATCGTATCATCTAATCATCTATACAACGGTTTATGTGATTGTTAACAATTATGATGAAGGATATTTTAATTATTTTTTTGTCGAAGACAAGCGAAGGTGCAATTTGAAAGAATGGAAAGAACATAAGTTTTGCATAAATGCAACAGAAGGATGGACTATACTTTCATTTTACTAGTGACAATATGAAACGAAGAGGAGGAAGAGGATAAGGGAGTAGGAGTTTGCTATTTCGCCCTATCGATTCGAGGTTCAACCAATTAATAATCATGTTCAAATCCCCCATTAATTATTTCACTAACATCATTTCAAAATTAAGTACTTTTCATGTAAGTATTTATTTTCGGTTTATTCTATTTGTTGTACTACAATTGATTATACATTACATAAAAGGGGAACTATTGAACTGCTTTCGTATAAACTATGATTTAGAGAATGAATCTCTTATATGATCATTAAAAGTTGTGGGCCCACGTCAAGAAGCAAGCCAAGTCACACCTGTTGAGAAACTCAAACAGCCTTGCGAGATAATCACTACAACAAAAACTAGCTTTTGCAACCAAAAACCTTACAACCAAACTAAATTTGGTTGTGAAAAGGGTAGTATATACAACCAATTATATTTTTTTTATAGTAACATGTGGTCCTTCCATACAAGCATCAACTAACAACATGGCCCACCCGAGTTCGGCCCAGATCGGCCTCAAGAACACATAAGAGTGATACAGGTGGGCTATCAGCCCAAACGAACTGTCTATTCCAACAGGAGATCGAATGATCCATGTCTATCGGGCCTTTGCTTCTTGGATTTGTAAACTTGGTTGATGTTTAGGAGTGTACTAAATTTTGTAATGATGTTGGCTTTTAAATTCCTCAATAATACGATAATGTACTTTCCTTGTGCATTCAAATCCCTTGTGCATCAAACCTTGACATGGAACTCGAATTGTGCATCAAACCTTGACATGGAACTCGAATGCCTCGTCTCGTACTAAACTTGAATGAAAGGTCATACTTTTGTTTAACATGAACCCTTCTTAGACTGGTGAGAGACAACTTTATTAGTTCGAAGTTGGCAACAGTTTTTAACCCCGGACAAAATGTGGTGTCTACAGGGTGCTGAAGAGGTCCATTCGAAGGTTCAGTGGATGTCCTAGCGAAATATGTGCAGGAGTAAACATGATCGGGGGATGGGATTTCGCCTATTCAAGCATTTTAATCAGGCTCTTTTAGCCAAAATTGGGTGGTGTATCCTTACTGAACCTCAGTCTCTTCTAGCCCAGGTTTACAAAGGAAAGTATTTCCCAACTGAGACCTTCCTCAAAGCTACGGCTCGTTCTCGCCCTTCGTGGGTTGGCAGAGTGTCCTGTTTGGGTGACAATTATTGGAGATGGGCTTAAGATGTCAAATTGGTAATGGTCAATCTGTTTCTCTGCTTCATTCCAACTGGATTCCTCGGCTCCAGTTTGATTCCCCTAGGTATAATCCACAGGTCTTACCGGACGGGGGTGACCCGCCAGTAGCTGAGGTTATTTGCTAGGGGGAGGGGCGTTGGTGTGACCTCAAACTTAGCCAATGGTTTGACTAAGTCTTACGATTGCAATAACTAAGTCAGGTTGCGGGTTTGGAAATTTTGGTTAATCGGGTTGCGGGTCACTTTGGAATGGAAAATTTATGGGCGGGTGAATATGAGCCAATAATTATACTAAACTTGATAAGTAATCTTTGACGATTCGTTGTTTAGATTATAAAGTATATGGTTAGAGTATAAGGTATAGATGGTTTAGGGCGTATATAGTTAGGGTATAAGGTATTGATGGTTTTGAGATGGTTTTGACGGTTCTAAGTTTTTTTTATTAACATATGTTCACTTGAAGTCATTTAAAATCTTTAATGGCAGGAGATCCTTTTTTAATTTATGGGCACTTTCTAGTCAAAATGAAAGACAATCCCAGAAAAAATGTAAAGAGTGAAAATCAACCGAATCAATGAACTGGAACATAATCCGAAAAATCCAAACTTCACATAATCAGTTACCAAAGGAAGAAGGTCGTGTTAGACAATCAAGTTTAAACCGTAATCCGCCATGAGTGTCAGCATACATACCTGCAGCAGAATCAAAATACTGAAGCAAACACACAAACCCTTTTCACAAGGCACATCTCACTCAAACCATAATTAGATATCAATCAACGAAGCCCCTACTTACTTACCCTCCCTAAGCACACACTTCTCTTACCGACTATATCGACCGCACCCTAAACCAAGCCTTCCATGTACAAGAACTCAAACTACAACGATCACGACTTCTGCAGGACGCACTTCTCATACAATGCAACGATATCCTTCTTGTTAGGATTCTTCAACTGAAGTAGCTGGTCACCAAAATTGTGCTTAGTGAGTTCAGCCTTCAGTTTCTGAATGGTGAACTTCATGTAGTTCTCTTGACCAGACTGCTGACTCTGTGTATCATCTTCTTCTTCTTCTTCCCCCATGAACACTGAACCACCATCTTCTGCTGCAGCTGGAGGCGGTGCACTGTAATCCATGGGACTAGTGGTGCTCCTGGCCCTCTTACTCGCTCTTCTCCCTGTCCCACCCATGTCTTGAACCGACCCCATTTCCACATCCTCATTTCTAGCACGCTTACCACGAGAAACCGCCTTCAGCTTACTATCCAATGCTGACTCGTTCAGCCGGACTGAAGTCAACTCCTGTTGGAGCGAGTCCAATTCTGCCCGTGCCTCTTCCAACTGAAGAGAGAGCTCTTCCGCCCTCTTGTTAGCAGCACTGTGGGCTTTCCTTTCATCTTCAAGAAGATCTTTAAGGGCTTTCACATTAGTTGACCTCTCTTCATTGTTCGACTTCAGCAATATCTCGATTTCTCTCTCCCGTTCATCGACTCTACCTTCTAGCTGTGAAACTGTCGATACGGCCTTCATCTCCGAATTACGAACCGTATTGAGTTCCTTTGTCAGATAGGCTCTTTCCCTCTCCAAATTCTCGATTTGTCTCTGGGCCCTCTCAATTTGAGCCAGCCTCTCCATTGCCAGTTTCTGGAACTCGTTCTTCTCCCGTTGTGCATTGACTGCATCAGTCCGTGCTCTGTCAGCAACTTCGACTGCCCTCTTGGATTCTGTTTCAGCCCGAGTGCACCTTTCTTGGACTTCTGCAAATCTCTCAAACTCAGAACGGTACCTTTCCTCTATGTGTATCTTCTCCTGTTCCAACATCCTAGCTTCTTTTTCATAAGATTGGGCATTGGCCATTGCAGACTCTAGTCTCTCAGCCAGTGTCTTGATTTCAAGTTTGAGAGTTGAGACATCTGCATCGTAACTCTCTATCCTTGACTCCGCAGCCTGCCAAATGACAGATTTCGAGTCAACATTTTGTGCCTATAAATTCTAGAACAGAGCTAGCAGACAGATTGAAATCCATTCAAAGGTTTGACATGTAAACACACATCTCACACCAGTTTATTTCATACAAAAGAAATGGTATAATTTTAACAATATATTTTGATCTCAAAGGGAAAAGTTTTGGAAATAAAATCTTATTTATGAGATAGCTTTCAGATTCTAATTATTTATAACAATTAGAGCGAATGGTTGTTTAGTTGGATAAACAAACATACCCTGTTATCTTTAAAGAGATACAGAGCTGGAAAAATAGTAGTTAGTATAAAAGTGTCTTTTCGAAAGTATTGCAACAAAATATTTGTGAACTAAAGAGCATACCTTCAATTCCAGGTTCAATGTAGTTATGCGCTGCTCAGCATATTTTATCTTTGAACTCTTCTCCTTGATTTCCTCGTCCTGCATTTCGAATTAGCAAACACTTTACTCGTGAAGAGAAGAAGAAAATCCATTTCTCAGTATAAGACTGCCTATATATGTAAGTTCAATTGGCCTAGGTAGTATACCTTGTCAGCAAGAACTCCTGTAAACTCTTCCCTCAAAGCATCTTCTCTCAACTGAGTGTCTTTACTTGATCGTTCTTGAGCCACAGCAGCTTTCTCCAGAGCAGCTTTGGTTTCTCTTACTGTTATATCATATTTCCGTTTCCATTCAGCAGCCTCTTCTTGAGCTGATCTCATCTGTTCATGAGCAGCAGCCATTCTTGCTTCTGCAGCACTGCTTCTCGACTTCAGAACTGCAACTTCAGATTTAATTTGATCCTCAATAGCTTTTTGCTTAGACAGAACCATATCGTGTTTTCTTTTCCATTCTGTTGTCTCTTCCTTGGCAGATTCCAATGCCTTTCTTAGGCTAGAACACCTTTCTTCGAGTGAGCTGCGACCGCTCTGCAGGTCGGCTATCCGCTTTGAATAATCATCCGCAAGCTGCCTCTTTTCACTGATAGCTTCATTATATCGCCTCATATATTCGGATTTATGACTCTCACTAGCTTCCAGCTGTTTGTTCAGCAATGCCATCTTGTCCTCAATTGAGCGACATTTCAGCATAAGGGAAGTCCTCTCGGTGCCCATTTGATCAACAAGCCTTTTTGCAAGGTCGTGTATCGGCCCTGCCAAACTGCAAAGTGTTACAAGAAAATGTTCAAACGAAGAATTTCTAACTGAATTATCAAGAAAGGGAAAGAAAGGAACAGATGAGGACCAACCTTTGTTGAAGGAACACTGCTAACTTCTGCCATTTTCCAGGGCC